CGCTCTGGTCTGCGCGGACGGTTTTCTAAAGTAGCTGGCGCTGGGGCAGCAGAAGGAAGGGAGGGAGGGAGGGAAAGAAGGAGGAAGGGAGAAGGGCGAGGAAGGAGGGAGGTGGCCGGGGTGGCAGAGGTGCGGGCCAGCCGCCGGTGGCCATGAGCGCGGCCATGGCGCCGCTTCCTACCAGGCCTGTCGGGCCTCTCCCCAGCGTTTAGGATGAGCGATGGACAAGTGCTACGTACCTACTGTCCGTTAGTATAAGCCACCTTCTTTAAAGTTAGGTCTAAAGAATGGTTGTCGTCGACTTGGTTTTCCTCCTCATCTTTTGCTCTGAATTAAGGTTTGTGTCCCATTAGGTTATTGTTTAAATAGACCCATTGAGAATGGTGGAAAGACAGGACAGGCAGAAAAGCTTGTGCTATTTATAAGGTACTTAGATCTGTGTTAGCCAAACATAGAGCCATCGCTTCATCATTTTTTCTTAGTCTGTGTTAAGGGTTAGTGCTCAGCCAGCCACTAAACAAATGACAGATGTTCTCTAATAACTCCTCTCCCGCAGGGAGCAATGGAGAGAGACCTACGGACTGGAAAAGAAAACTTTATTATATTGCTTTTTTATTGGTATTGTTTCAATAAAACCAGTCAGAAAATAGTGAAATATATACAAAACTAATACTGAAACTCCCCTGGTGAATTGCCACTGATGCTGCAAGCCAGGCAGGCACCAGAGAAGTCTCAGATAGACTCAGTTGCCAATAGGAAGGAGATTCAGAAGCTGGATTTGGGAACAGAATTCAGGAACTCAGGAATCTGGATCAAAGGCAGAAGAATGGACAGCGTCTTCCTCGTAGGCTGGCCATTGAAGAAGAGGGCTTAACTGTTGTGCTCCCACAGCTTTGTATTGAATGGGACTTACATGGGGTGAAATACTCTGTTGGTTGCTTTTGGGTCAACTGTCCTGCTCACTCCTCCCCTGAGGTGTATTCTCTTTACTTCCTTGTGACCCTTCTACTTTTCTGGCACCCCAGTATGGCAAACAAGATGTAGCAGTGACCTTCGTTACTTTAGGACTGAGTATAAGCAAGAGGCTTTCTGCATACCAATCCTTGGTAGTAACTGTAAACATCGAGTATTATCACTTTGAGAAGTAGATACTGGCTGCAAAAGCTTGCTGTTAACTTCAGAAAGTGCAGCTTCTTGGAAGAAACTGAGCTGAAAAGTAAAATCACTGAACAGAATTGGTTCTGTTCTAACTCAAACCAGGACAGTCCTGAGACATGAGGAGTGTTTAGTTGGAACAGCTGAATAAAGCTGAGCTTTGATAAGCTGCTTCTGTTAAGAAAAAAGAACTTAATATGCTTGCTTTCATTTTAAAAGGGATTCTTAAGGAAGACATCTCGTGTCTGCGTTCAGAGGTTTCCAAAGCTTTTTTTTTTTTTTAACCTTGTGCTCCACTGAATGAATGAGGTCCTCAGACATGATTGCTGCTGTGTCGGTTGTTAATTTTCTTGAGGATTAACACCTGGTAAGAAGGAAGTGCGAAAATTAAGCTATTAGTAATATGTTTGCTTTTAATCATCTAAAACTTCATGTAGTCTAAAGCCCTGCTTCTAGCGTTATTATATAAAGCCAAGAATAATAATAAAATTTCAGTCTTAGGAATTTGCTGGGAGTGTTTTGTGACAGTAGTCTTCTCACCTGCTGGGTGTTTCTATTGGAAATCCTGACAAATGGCACCTGCACATATTATGGGAGATTTTGTAGAGTGTGTGTGATTGTATTGCCCTCCCTTGCATGCAGTACCAAATCTCTCTTTACCTACAGGTCGGTTACATAGTAGGACTGAAATTTGTTGACTATTTCAGAAAGCTGAAGTATGTAGCCTGGGTGGTCTTACTTTCTAGTCCTAAGGTATAGTGAACAAGCAGATGCTGTTTTCAGTATTTCTTTGGCGTGACATTGCAAGATACAGGTGTACTTTTGTTCCCTGCTTCTTGTCACTTCCTTCCATGTTTCCTACCTCCTTACCTGTCATAGGTTTCCCTCCAAAAAACTGGCATAAAACGGACACCTACATACTGCTGAGTTTATAGATGTCAAAGGGGATATGTAATACTAAATTTTTGGAATCTGCAGAAAAGTACGTGTCATAATTAAATATATATACCTACCTTTGCTGCTTAGCTTTCTGGTACTCTTCAGGTCATAGACCAGTGAGCTCTTGAAGTTTCCAAGTTAGTTTCTGAACCTGAGGTTTGAAGATTTCTCTGTTACGTTGAGTAGAATTTTCTAAAGACAGTGCTTGTCCCAGTAAAGCAAAGTTCAAGTTCATGAAGCTGATTCTCTGATTTCTGTCATTAATTTCTCGTTATATGTGTGTATATATATATTTAAATAAATGATAAAGTTATTCAGAAAACCTGTATATAACTGAGTCGCTGTTATTTTCATACTCTGTTCAGTTGGATGATAGGGCACCTTTTGATTTTGGAAATTAATTTCTGACTTTCATTATCAATACAGCCAGACAATTAAAAAGGTTTATCTGGTTTTGAGGGACAGATCTCTAATTTCTATTCTGAGTCATGTCCTACTGTGTCTCTAACTTAACTGTGTGCTCAGATGGGAAAATGACACACTTTCGATACTTAACATATTCTGCATACAATATATGGACTTTTCCCTTTATTGCACATTTGCTTTGTTGCATCCATTAATTCTCTGCGTTTGGTGGCCTTTGGAATGTATTGGTTTGCTTTTTTTATATTGTTTTGTTTTAAGAGATCTTAGTGTAATTAATATTCTGAGGAGGGATCACTCCTGTCTATGTATTGACATTATCAAGACAGATTTAAAAGAAAGTTGAAAGTTCTGTTCAGCAACCCCTAATTTTGACATTTTCTCTTTCAGGTGGAAATAAGGATAACATCAGAGCAGGGTGCAAGAAGTGTGGCTACCGTAAGTCTGTAGTAAGCAAAATAAAATTACAGTGTTTTCTTCAATTTATGATCATGGAACAGCCATTTGAGGAGGGGTTAAAAATAAAAAAGGAGTGTTCTCCCTTGTTGCCCATACATTTATCAGTTTAAATTACCATTTCTTTTATTCATTTATTCTTCATTCATTGTGTGGCTCCTCACACCTGTTTCTTCTTTTGAAAACCCTTGAGTTTCTCAGGAAGAAGAAAAAGTATGCTGTTCTGTTCATGTATACTACATTTGCAATGCAATTCCTTGAGAAACTTTGAATTGAAAGCATGGTCTTTGTTATCTACTGAGGTTAGCATTTGAGCTTCTTCTGAGTCTCACTGCATACTTAGGCAGGCGTTTCAGGTCAAGTTAAGTCCAATCTGTTTTAAAAAAAAAAATTTAAAGTGTATATGATCTTCTGTGCCAAGAAAACCTACTTATTTGTGCTTTCTGTATTTCAAGAAACATTTTTACTTAGAGTTAGCATTTAGTTTGTGCTTTGCATTAGGCACTGATCGTAAAAGTATGTCTGGTGCTACTCTCCTGGTGAATGGAGACAGGCTCAGTGAAGTTTTTAACTTGTTAATCACTAACTCTTACTTTTAGAACAATGGAGAGGCAGGCACTGTTTTGCAGTGAATTGTGTTGAACTTTTAACAGAGTGAGTGAATATGTTTTTGTGTTATTTCGGGTGAAGGGGAAAAATCTTGCTGTAGATTTTTTTTTTTCCCCCGAAAATTTTGCCAATTAATTGCTTTCTGTATCTGTCCTTCCAAAGGAACTTGGATATCAGTATAAATTTAATACTTCATTGTGCATGCAGTAAGTATCAGAAGTTTTCGGGAAGAGGAAGAAACTTGTCAGATCACACAACCTGTAGTTACTTTCCTAAAAGCTCTCTACTCAAGATGTAGGTGTTTTAATATGATGGATGAGTTTATTTCAGTTACTAGTTGAATTTGTGTGTCTTTAGCTTGGTTTCTCCCAAACCGTATCTTCAATTTATTTCTCTTTTTTATTCAAGTAGGTGTATTCAGCACAAGCTTTCTATCTCTGCTAATGATTATTAAGATGTAACTTAGAAAACTAAAAATACTAGTCAGGTAGTTGCTTAGTCTTATGTACTGGTTGTTAAAACATTATGTCTCGTAAGTTAGTAAGATTCTTCTGCTTTGCTAGAAGGAGACAAAAAGAGCACTGTAACATGCTGTAGTTTTTTAAATATTTCACTTCATGCTTTTAGATAATTTAATCAGGAAAAATCTGAGACCATTTCAAAAGCAGGAAGTAAGGATTGGACGTATTCTTTGACAGAAATGAGAGGTCATAAAGCACCATTAAATGGAATAACATTGCACAGCCTGTTAAAATTCCTCGAGACTTTTTCAAAGTAAGCCTTCCTCTTCATTCACAGGTTGCAGCCTAGCCTTTTTTCATTTCTCAAAACTGAGTAATACTAAAATGAATGTTCTTTAGTTTATTTTTTTTTTTGTAAATTGTAATTTTTCAATATTTGTTTTGTTCAGCTGGTCATCTGACATTTGAATGTCGAAACTTCCTCCGAGTAGATCCTCAAAGGGATATCGTTTTAGATGTTAGCAGCACTAGCAGTGAAGACAGCGAGGAGGAAGAACTACAGAGATTGCAAGCCATGCGTGAAAAAAAGAGTAAGGTGGTGTTTGGTTTTGTTTTCTTAGAGAGTAAATTGGATAATGGTCTTCAGAAGTACTGGTAATCTCATTTTAAACTTTTTGAAACTGCTCCTGGTTCTTTTAGCCGGTGCTTTAAAAATAGATACTTTACTTAAAGTATTCAGACTTCAGAGATTTGATACACCCACATCTTTTTTTACTATTGTTAGTTCCTGTCATAGGAAATTAATTATGTAACCACTTGAGACATCTCAAAAAGTGCTCCTAAATACAAAAGGTAATAAGACTTTATTAGGAAGCTGCTTAGGAGAAAATGACATGGATGTTCTCAGTTAATCTTTTGATTATGGCATGTGTCTTAAACATCTTAAAGTTGATAGTAAAACTAATGATAAATATGACAGCTAAATTTCTCTCTAGATTCTGAGTAGTGATTTTACTGAAACAGCTAGTGAATTGAATTTAAACATTCATATTTGGAAAAGTACTATTCTCTGTTTGGAAGGTCTGAGAATCAACTGTTTGTCGGAGAGAGACAAACAGAGATAGGCTGTTTAGCAGATATTTGAATTCATTTGAGTTTGGACTCCAAAGAGCCTGTTGCCCTGTATAAGAAGAGGACTTTTTTCTGTCAAAGCGTGTTTTCAATGAATCGATGTTCTTCTACTCTGCCCTTAAAGTGTAATAATTTGTTCTGTTGCTCTCACATTCCAGAATCGACATTCAGTTCCTACTAAAGATGCTATTTAGGAAAGAGAAGGGATAGATAGTACCCTGTAATTTGCTGGAACACTTTGAAGAAATGGATAGTCTGCTTGTCAGGAGTAAATTGGTACTGCAATAGTCTGGTCCTGGAACAAGTCTCTCTGAAAAAAATTGTTCCTACTTAATACACACTTTTGCACGTAATGGTTTTGTTTGGCCCTAAACTGACAGGTATCAGCAGGA